CGGGAGGCTCAGCCTCGTAACATGCGCCCGCAGTGGGCCCATTAAGGGCGCAGGTCCTATTGGCCACGTGGGAGCGGCGCTATATTAGCCCGGACTGAAAGCGGGTCATTTCATTTTGCTTTTGAGTCCCATTCTGGAGCCCGTTTCTATTCTTTGATTGGGATAGATCATTGAGCGTCGTTGTCATGTGACTTAGAAATTCCCGATTGCAGCCCGCAGAACATGGTCCTCAAACAATCGAGGGCAAACTGTCCCAGGCCTAAATCTCACAAATTTCCGTCGGCGGTTTTCGCAGGACTAGTTAAAGCCGGTAAAAAAAGAACCCTTATTGTCATCGGCAAACAATCCCCGATAACTCACTTCCCTTTGGCATGCAAGCACTGCTGAAGACTGGAAGCTCAAAACCAAGTAACATAGTCCCTATTCGGGATAGCCTAGCGAAAAGTACTCACATTTGAATGCATGCTTCAGTGGTCGAATTAGTACATGAAGTTTTCATCGGGATATTTGAGGACTCTCAAGCTTCTCACTTAACAAACATCAATCCTGTCTTTATTCGAGTTACAAGACAATTTTTTTCTGTGGTCAAACAGTAAAAGTATGCTATGAAATTATTGATTATTGATCTCAGTCGACCTTCTTGTGATTCTTTTAAAGGATTACTAAATGCCTTTGTAGTTTAGGTCTCCGTTTTATGCACCCGATGCTAGATGACTGAAAGTAGACTCATTTTTTGTCACTGGGCCACTGCAATTCAAGGAGATTTTGATTCTGGAAGGCATCAAATTGAAATATAATGTGGCTATAGCGGAGCATCCCTACGTGAGACAGAGCATTAAGACGTTAGTTTTAACATTCAAGTATTGATCCTTTCGGCTTTTAAGTTCTTAAAGCCCTCACTACTTACTTTTTTTTAATTTAGGTTGGGGAATACATATTCTTCGTGGGCATGACAATCGAAATAACGCTGAAGATTCTGGCGGACGGTTTTATTTTCACACCGAATGCTCTTCTCAAAGATTTCGGAGGCTTTTTGGATCTATTCACGTACACAGTAAGTTCTGTTTCTTGCACAGCTTGCTGATGATCAGTGCATTCATGGTCCCGGTTTAAGCTATCGGAAACTCCCGCAGTCATTCTGAGTATTATTATGGCCAGTTGTTGTCTTGGCCCTGTTCATGCAACAGCGACTACTCAAAAGTGTTTTTTTCCTTCCTCAAATAAACAGCTCAGCCTGGTTTTTGTCAGCTACCTAATGCGGGTGGAGAAGCTAGGACCCAGTTCTGCTGGACAGCTCCTATTGGTCCTCCGCTGTCTTCGTCCTCTTCGCATATTCTGTCTGGTCCCACAGATGCGTCGTGTCGTCTATGAACTTGTACGGGGATTTCGGGAAATCCTAATGGCAAGTTCTGTATCTTTGTGCTGACTTTACGCAAAATGTCGATCCATGCCTACATCGAGGGAACTTGGTTATAAACAATAGTACCATTTGAATAGGCTCAGTGTTGACTATGCGAAGCCTGATAGCTGGCAGGCCTTGTTTCTGTTTCCCTTTTTATTATCATCAACGATATGTGTATGTCCCCTGTAAATTGTGGCTTTTGTATAACCTCATAAATTAATTTTGAACTTGGAGTGCATTCAAGGGCCTACAGACGCAGATCGAAATTCAATGTAAATACTTGGGCCGAGGTCTATCAGGCACTGCGGGATAATCGCGTAATAGTCACACGCGGCCAACAGGCAGTCAATAGTAACTGTAACCTTAATCTAAACCCTATCTGTAGCCTAAATCTAAATCCTTCCAATTGGCATAAACCGAAAACTTAACCCTTAACAGAACCCCGACCCTAACCACAACTCCACCCTTAGCGCGAACCTGCAACCACAGCTGTTTCGCCCCTTGCCTTCTCCGACTGTATCCAGCAGTCACGCGTAGAAGAAGAAGAAGAAGAAGAAGAAGAAGAAGAAGAATGCTATATTGAGG